ATCAATGAAGGTATTTTTGTTTAAGAAGGCAGACAATGCCAAATCATGTAAGGAATTACATCTTTTATAGACTATTTTTTAGACAGTCCAGGTAATTGTAATGTCAATAACAACTGGTTAAAATTTAAAAATAAAATACTAGAAATAACAAAGAAACATGTTCCAACTATCATGCAAATAGGCAAAAAATTTAGTCTCCCATGGATAAACCATAACATAAAGAAACTGATGAGAACCAGAAGGAAACAATATAGCAAAAATAACAAAAACACCCGATGACTGGGGAAAATACACTAACCCCCCCCCTCCCCCACCTCCAAAATAAATAAATAAAAATAGAAATTAAAAAAGCATATGTGTTAAGCTTATTTGAAGGGACAGAAAATGGTGGAGCAGCCAAAAAAACTGTACCGGTATTCGTTTATAAAAGGCTTGCGAAAGGGATAAAATAGGGGTTTCACCTCTTCAATCAGATGGTAAAACAGTAAATGATGGAAAAGAAAAGGCACAAACATTATCAAATCCGTTTCAGAATGTCTTTACAGATGAGGACACATATCAACCATTCCAGACAAAGTTCGAAGTCCTTATCCGAATATGCACGAAATACAAAATTAATAGTGAGGGCATACAGAACCATAATTTGTTGGGGAGAAAAACAAATTACAGTATATGTATATTGTAAATATTAGTAGACTCTAAAATCTATTAAATAAACCTTCGAAACCCATAAATTGTCAAAAATTTCCTCCCTCCAGGCCACTTTCGGAAGATTTTAAGCGACGCTCGATCATGCCCACTTTGCTCTCTTCAAGGAAATCTTCCCCTCGTCGGGGCATCCCCCACCCCGAACATTGGAACCACTCGGGCAAATCCCTGGCGCTATCCCCGACAAGAAAGAACATACGCGAGCTAGAATAATACTAGTTATTTGGGTTTAAATAAGGTTATTTAGACCGATGGACGTACAGTACGCATATGCTTAAAGTCTATTTTTAGGAATGTATCTCAGTCACGCATACCAAAATATAAATACTTATAAGTTGTAGGCCTACGAAATATATTTAGGCCTACTTGACGTATGCAGTAAAGTACAGTATTAATAAGCACAATTTCATATAGTATTTTAATACAGATTTACATTTGTACTCTAGAAATAGGTCTATGTATACGTTGTGTCGGTATTTAGAATGTTTCAATCTTTTGCTTTACTAAAATATCAATTATTATCGTAATCTTTAATGATTACTTTATTTCATATAGTATTTGAAATAAATTTATTAACAATTTTAAATATTTAAATATGAACTATGAAAGTAAATACACGTAGATTAAATTAATAAAAATGGACATAGTAGTAATCTTTATCTATTCAATAACATTTCATTTTCAATCTTCTAATCAATTTTTATATAGCCGGAGTTAGTTTCGACCTAGGCAAACCTTTGCTAAAAAGGCACATTTTCTCCATCAAAAGGCTTCTTCTGGGAACGGAATGACCTGTTTGAAGCACGAACTCCTGTAGACCAAACCCAGTACCGTTACGATTTTTAATCGTACGGGAAATCATCTCACGATGACCTCATATAACCTTATTTTGCGAACTAGCGCCACCTTATCGAGGCTCCACTTCACCAGAGGTAGCGCCACAATTTGCCCGACGGGATGGGAGATGTCTCCGAGCAAAGCGGGCGTGGTCTGTCGTCGTTCAAAATGTTTCGAAAGTGGCCCAGGATGACAATTTATGGGTTTCAATGGATTATTTAATCGAATTTAGAGTCACAAATATGTAGAAAGTACATCTAACCATTTCACGAATCCTTTTTTACGCCACCGCTGACGTGGTGGGGTTGGGAGCGTAAGTAGGCGTTGTTGGGCTTTTACCAAAATCTATCGGGAAATATCTTTGTGCTAAATACAATACAATATTTGTTTACTGATATGGATAAAATTGTACTTTGGACTATAAGGCAGCCGAAGTGGCCAAAAGCAAATGGTGGATATTTGGGAAGGGAACACAGGGCTGTATGTTTATTTTCGTTCATTCATCTGCAACGCCTAAAACATAAATCAGTAGTTCAGTGAGAAGACGATTTTTGTTTGTTGCATGGGTTTACAACTTACAGTAACTGGCAGCTGTAGTCATCATAGAAAAAACACCGAATTATGGAAGAATTTGCCAATGAAATTATTAATATGAATACAAGTCTAAGATCAGCTTATATAGCTTATTATAGATGTGAACAGAAACTATTTACCTATAAGTGTAGAATATTACGGTTTGGACACGGATATGAGGTTGGGAGTGCATTTGAAGGGTTACCAATCGACGTTTGCAGTGATATGGACTTCATGAAGATTTTGCCAACATTTCCGGTTGTGTTGTGGAAATCTCTAACAAAAGAAAAAACACATAGAGGAGGTTTTGTAATGGCTGAGCAGAATGTAAGTGAACCAGCGTATGTAAGACTGAAGACAATAAAAGGATCGTGTCTACATAAGGATTTCAATAGTAACATTGATAACAATAGGTATTTAATGACAAACACTTTCATTGATAGAATGTCTGATTTTAACATCCATATGAACCCAAAACAAATTGGTTCTATAAAGAGTGGTCCCGCCGTAGCAGGCTCAGTATATGAGGAATATTATACATTTTCACAAAAATTAGACATGGTCTTTTGCCTAAAGTGTGAATCATGGCCGCCTACTACTGATCAATATTTTACTAGAGAGAAACAGAGTAACTGGCCATCACAGAAGCTGTTAGACAAGGTCTCTCATCTGGATTGTTTTGTAGTTCCTGTTGGACACCCGAGCAGTGCGTCAAAAAACACTGAATGGAGATTGTCGTTTTCTTTAGCTGAGAAAGAGCTGATTCATAATATGTTTGCTCCGTTCGTTAACTGCATGTATGCCCTGAAAGCAGTTAAACAAAAGTACATCGTATACAGTGATTTTGATAAACCAACGCCATTCTGCTCGTATTTCATAAAGACCGCTTGTTTGTGGATGTGTGAAACTTTACTAAACAAAGATTACAACATCATGTATTTAATCAGAAGAGTACTGGATTGGCTTATTAGTAAATATAAACATAGAAACCTGCCTCACTATTTTATGCCGGAGCAAAATTTGATTGGTCATCTATCAGTAGAACGATGTGAAGACGTAATAGCAAAATTGACAAACGTTAAGACAGATATCTGGACGATGGTGATGTCAAGTCTTTATCTTGTTAACACTGATGAATATAGTTATAGGCCTATAGATTATCTATGCGATAACCTCAACATGCCGAAATTAAATGGATATGACGACTTAAAAGATATGTCTAATTACCAATGGGATACAGAGTTTCTTGCAAAATGTATTTCCAAGATACGCCCAGGTGGCCGCATGTATAGAAGCACGATATACTATCAATGCTGGAAATGGACAGAAAATCTGTTAAATCTCGTATTTTTACAAATTGATTTTCTTATAAAAGTGAGAACGCATCACTCTGAAATTCTTGGAGTTCCAGAAGAAATTATTCTTCCTTTTGTAGAAAATATAAAAAAAATTGTGCCACTGCAATGTAGAGAAATGCTGAAGACGCAGTTATACAGAATGATAGGTAATACGTATGCCTATTTATTGATTTACTTACGAAAAAGTTACGGGTGTCATAAAATTCTGACGCTATACAAAAATAAACCGTTGTATTACTATAAATTGGGAGCTGAAATGGTTTACTTTAACGAAATGTCTGACGGAGGCATAGGTAGCCTAGTTCTTGAAGTACAATACCATTATCTATTTGGTAATTATGAAGCACTGAAAATGCTACTTGCAGAGTACAAACCTTTACTTATTAAACTTAAAGAAAATGTGTTTTTCATGAATGAATTTCATGGTATAAACATAAACCCAGGCCAACATTCATCATTAGTAATGAGTGCCTGGACCATTGATGAAAAACTATATAAATGTTTAAAATGTAGGCCTACTTTTGGACTTGGATTAATGAATCCAATCGTATTTGTCTTTTATGTAATGGCCAGAGTATACATTAGAGAGGGAGAACTGGAGAATGCATCAGCGATTGTAAAAGAAATTGAGGTATGCTTGAAAAATATTCGACACACAGAAAAATTTGAGTTCACCAAGTTAATGATTGAATTGATAGAAATGGAGATACTAGAAGTAACAAGAATGTTATACGGTTCAAAAGAGTTAACACCATTTGATAGGCCCGCCCTTGTTCATATCCTATATTCAGCAACACAATGATTGTGAAAATGCCTTATGTGTTCCAAGAGTCAAAACTAAATCATATGGGGAGAGGGGTTTTGCAAAGGCCGCACCTACGCTCTGGAATGATCAGCGCCTCTTCATTAATTTTTTTTTTAGAAAAGCACTAAAAACGCATATATTCGTCCTAAATTACAACCAATAACTAGTTACAGCAGCACTGATTTAATTTTTTGGAATATTTTATGTCATATTTTTCCTATTTTAAATATTTTTACTGTTTCAATATTATTTCCGAAATTAATGTCTGGTTTTGAGATATTGTGCATTTTGTGTATTTTGATTAGTTTAAGATTTTTATCACTTTTTCATACAGTCTTGTCAATCAATTTGTATATAATGGAGCCATTTTTTTCTAAATTAATTTTTATCTATCATTTTATAAATATTATTGTAATTAATCTATGAATTTGAGATGTTCTTAATTGTTTATATTTTGATTGGTTACTTATTGAAGTTTAATGTAGTTTAAGATTTTTACAACATTTTCATTATTAATTTTGCAATCTAATTATTTAAATTAATTTGTATATAATCGATAATAATTGTAATATTATTCTAAATTTATATATTTTTGCATTCTATTTGTATTCTTAATGTAAAGCGCCTTTGAAGAGACGGGTTGGTGATTTTTGTCCAGAATAGGGTCCCATTTTGTCCAGAATAGGGGCTGAGGGCGCACTATATTGTCCAGAATAGGGGCTGAGGGCGCCCTATTATGTCCAAAATAGGGGCCGAGGGCGCACTACCGTTTTTCTTCTTCCGTACGAAACATTTACATGAAACTCCACTCGGGCCGTCTCGGCTGAATCGACCCGAAAATTTCATTGCAGAATTCAGGAGGTCAAAATGTCATCAACAGATAAACGTCTACAAAACAACTTCTGAGAGAACGTCTGTCTAATTTTTAAAAATACATTGACGTTACATATTAATGGGTCGTTTAAAATGACATATAATATTTGATTAAGCTGCACGAGTAATGAAAAGTGTTATTTTAACTTGAGTCACATACTATGACAATTTTAATTTTTTAGTTAGGCCTTGGTTTTGCATAATTACCTAGGCCTACAAGACGCTTTCTGGGAAAAGCACAAAGAGTAAGGAAAACTTTCGCGGCGTTTTTCTTCATCAAATGAAACAGGGTGACAGTTATTTTCAAATTAAGAGAAGAGCTGAGAATAGGCAGCTCTAAAATACTGGATGCCATAAGACCTGCCAAAATGGCAGAGCACCAAATGAATGTAAAAATGAGCTAGTTATTAATACTAGGCATAGTAATCGGCAGGTTCTTGATTACAAAGCCTAGACCAAGTTAATTACATGTAATGCCGAAATGATTATTATTACTGTATTAATTATTATTATTATTATTATTACCTGTACCTTAAAGGGGAACTTAGACAATGGAGGAATTAGAGAACAATTAAAAAACGACGTTAAGGGGAAATAACACAAAAGATATTCCCCTTGGGCGATTATTATTTATAGGCCTAGTAAATAGTACGGTATCTGTAGGTTCTTCATTACAAGGCTTAGGCCAAGGCAATTAATGCTGAAATGATTATTATTATTATTATTATTTAACATTAATTACATTACAATGATAGTTTGGACAAGTTTAATAACGCCGGAATGGTATATTATTTATTTAATAATATTTCTCTTATGCGCTCTATTTTTTATTTCATGCTTCAATTTTGTCCTATTTTTTCCCCAAGAAATGTCAGTCAATGTCAGTATGTTGGTGTCAGCCTTGACCCTTTGCCTAGTTTAAGGAGGGGCCTAGGTGAGATCTCAGCCTGTTAAGGCCTCTTTCTCTCTGGTATTACTGTACCTATCTACACTTTATAACAGGAGGTACTAGCTGTTGTTTTTGTAGATAATATACTAACATTTAATAACATCCAAGAAGGTCACAGTTAGTTACACACGTACATCCCATAAGTCCGTGAGATGTCATAGGCCTACCATAGGTAAACATAGAAAGAGCAATACAGTAATAGTAAAACTCGAGCGTCACGACATTGAGAAGTGGATGATCTTGTTCCTCGTATCGTACTCACTCGAGTCAATCCGAGATGGCCCGAGTGAAGTTTCATGCAAATGTTTCGTACGGAAAAAAATATCGTGAGCCGCAGATAGAGAGTTTGGCCAACTTGGTGCATGGCGCCATGTTGTTACCAAACAAGCGTATTGCTTTATAACACTGATGCTGCATAAACTTTCTTGTACTAGCGCTACTTACTATGTGTATATTATTTTTGTATTGTAGCATATCCTATTCTTTTAAATTGACATTATTGTTAAAATTCTTTCCATAGCATCATCTTCTGATTATAGACTAGAACTAATACAAAATACTATGCGTAAATCACTTCTTTCTACACCATCACCACAATCATATTTTACAAAAGACAGTTCAAGGAAACTGTATACAGAAGCAATGTTTATTCAGAAGCTGCATATTTTCAATATAATTACCATAATCCATAAATTCAATGCGATTCATAAATTCCTACCAGTTTAACAATGTGTACTGCAGATAACTACAAGAGATTCAAATTCTACAATACAAGTATAATTACTCTGTAATTACAAATTTTTCATGGTTACCCACGGAAGAAAGTGATTTTCTTTAATAAAATTTAATAATCATAGAAAAAAGAATGTGTTTAACATTCAGTCTGTTACATGCACACAATAACCATATCTTTTTTTTATCATCATCTATACTACAGTTTATTATTCAATTTGAAATATATTTTCTAAATCTGCTGTTAAAGCATTATGACTACAAACTTAAGTGAACTGTAAGAAAATGTATTTTTTTTGTGTTTTCAACGCTGCATTTAAATTTATGATGACTACAAAACACAACAGATGTGTGCTCATCAAAGATACATTTATGTAAATTAGGAAGGCATTAAGGTTAGGAATACTGTAGTACATTAAGCCAAAGGTGTGTTAAGTTACCTACCCTTAATACAACGATTCATCTATTATGCCTGAAGTGTACAAATTAAAAACGCTGAAGGTGTTTTTTGTGAAAATTGGAAAACATTTTCTTTTGCTGCCTTATTCTTATCACTTCACTGATCAGAAAGCCATATCGTTTCTTTAGCCCATAAAACAGATACAGTAGTGCTGTGTATCTACCAATGCTTTATTTTTTTGGCCTTTGTCATAAATTATTGAATACCTGCTTCTTTGAAAAAGGCATGCAGCTCCCAAACGAACCCCACAATATACATATTTTTTCTTCTAGGCACTGTTCTCGTTCTGCTCTAGAATAAGCGCCACTTATTAGATATGTTCTTAATAAACCTAAAGAAGCACAGGCTTAATTGAAAAAACACTTTCCTATGTACCATAGGGAATCTATTAATAACTTCTCAAAGAATAATTTATTCAAATAAACCAGAGAGTAGCATTTTAACACTCCAAAAATGTTAATAAGCCCAGCTCTCGAATAAGCACCATACAGTTCTATAATTGCAGCAGTGCTTATTTGATAATTCATGTGTTTCACAGATGGTTCATTTAGCAATACATAGACAATTCTAGCCAATTTCAACAAGATAGCATTTAAAGATGTAATTCTGCTGTAAAATATTCAAACATACTTCCAATCAAAAGACCATTTAAGCATAGACTCGCATTTTGATCAAACTCCCACGGTTACAGGGAAGGGAATTAACATCCCATCAATCTAGGTATGAGCTATCTAGTACAACATTTGGTACTTAAAACGAAAAGAAATAGAGACCTTATCTGCACATGATGTAACAGCATATTTAGTTTTTAATACTACAGGCTTACTTCGTTTATAATTTTAAGAATACTTGTGGCAACAATGATATTCATTGATAGCCAATACGAGACATAATGATACACAGTGTAAATGTAGCAGGACCTGAGACATAATGATAGACAGAAAATGTAGCAAGTGTCCCTTGCTACACCACGTCCCTGTGAAGGAGCATAATTTCAAGATTAGAATACATCGCATGTAATATCCATGAAAGAAAGATATTACAGAGGCACATAGTACTCCCAATAGGGAATAATGGACCCTGTGTGCATTATCAGAGCAGGGATAATTTTCCACTGCGGCGTCAAATGTACGTTCATCATCTGTGCATCAAATGTAGCCACTTACAAAATTTACTCATGTGAAGACAACAGCGACTTTAATAGGAAGATCTCAAGACATTTGTACATTTAGCATTTGTCCTACGAATATTTTGTTTTGTGTTACTTGAGGTAACAGAGAGCAGCGAGTGATTAATGTGGAAAGCTAAAAATATACATAAAACACATGCAAGGCGACTCCTTAAATTACCAGAAAATAATGGATATTTATGAACACAAGGTGTTCATTCTCATTATAATTATTGTACTATGTTTATGGATATTTTTTTATTGGATTTTAATATCCTCCAAGCTTACCTACTCTTCAAAAATCTTTATTTTGAAAATATTTATCAAGAACACCCAATATTTGAGTAGAAAAACCTAAGCTAAGATCGCATTGAACTTATTACCAAAACTGACCGTGCAAGTAAATGATAGTAAAAGCTTTCACCCATTATTTACCTACAATGTGTAAACAGTTTACCTTTATTATATACTACAATTGTTATTTTTCTTATATTTTATATACTATAATATATTGTCAAGCAGCAGCTGGTAAGTTACTTGCCACTCATGTTACAGAATGGAAACTCTTAGGTATCCTTTTTGTTTAGAAAAAATCTGCAATCTGCAACCCCTTTAATCCTCAAGCCCCTAAGCCTGATTTTTCTGTTCTGTTTTCTAGATTTACAGCAAAACCTCTGCACTATACTATATCAAGAAATGCAGAGCGAGATAGAGATTTGTACCGTAAACTATATATTATGTCAGTCAATAATTAAACTGTATAACATGTCAATCATTCAATCAATCAACCAGTTAGTAAATCTTCTGTTTATAGTTACAATTACAATTTTCTTATTTTTCATCGAGGTGCATTGCGTAGTAGTAGATTCATTTGTGAAGATTTTATACGCATCACCAAGAATATATTACTACACTACTAAGCATCTACTGTACTTAAATTACTGTACTTAAATTACTAGACTAACAAAAAAACACAAACAAAAAAACCTAAACCAATCATATGAAATGCTCAGGTTATGTGACAAAAATCTTTAAAAAAAAATTACTTTTAATTCCCTATTAAAAAATAACTCTTTAAACTTTTAATATGTGCTTATATATATATTTTTTTCATATTTTATGTTTACTTTCTTTTATGTGTTTTTAAGCATATCAGGCATGTTGTGGAAAATGACTAAGTTGCAGCAAAAATCAAAATTCAAGTTACTGGTGTTTTCAGATACTTTAGTATGCAATCTTTTAAATGAGGGGTCATTCATGCATTGAATTTTAAATAAGAATCAACTACCAGAAAGATGTTAAATAACTAGTTTGTCGACTATTTCAAGAATTAAGACGTTTAGACACGATTAGCTAGATATAAATCTGTTAATTCATAATGAAACATTATTTATTTCTAGGCCATTTTTTAAGTTCCCATATTTTATACAGTAGCTTAATTACTCGATACTGATCAGTGCGACAACTTGGCCACTTTTCACAATAAGCCTCATACATGTGCGAGAAAAATTATTAAAACACAAATATAAAAATGAAGTTTCTGATGAAATCAGTTTTTTCCACTGCCCGCAGAGCGACTAAATGTCATCAATGTTTATTTCGTCCGTTTCCTCCACATAAGAAGGAGTCGATGGAGCTTTAACGGGCTTCACCTCCAAACCAGTGCTCTGCGACGAGAAAGAAACCTACAAAAAAAAAAAAAAATATATATATATATTATTATTATTACTATTAAATGACATACAATTTCCTTCCTATTACATGCAACTACCTTCACAAAAGTGGATGGATCATCATAAAAGTTTGGGGAATGGTACATAATTTAATCTAAGAGATGATTATGTTTCGGGAACAAAGATTCAAACAACAAAGTCAAGATCACGGAAATTCGATTTTTAACCTCAAGCATGAAAAAAAAAAAAACATAATGGAATGGCCCATACTTGTACTGTTTGTTATTCAGGCACCGGGATGGATGAATGAAAATGCAAGTGTGAAAGCTAAAAAAAGTAATAAAGGGTGATCTCAGGCCCCTATTGCAAAAATATGCCACTTTAAGCCTGTAAACCAGGGACACGGGGCAATCTTTACCTGTACATCTTCTTCTTCACCTTCATCGCTTGCTTCCTCCGCCTCTGCCAACCACTTCAGGAACGGAGCTGCCTTCTTTAACAATTCTTGGGACACTTCTTTCGGAACGTACTTCTTGCTCGGCTATGAAACAAAATGCATAATCATTGTGTATATTATATTGGTTCATGGTTTAGAGACATTGTATGCACAGAACCGGTAGAAGCACAGTGGCATACTGCAACGATTGCACGATGACGATAGGACCTACAACGTAATGACGTCACAAAGAAGTCATCTGCGCATGGAGAACGTAGAGTTCACGCTGTCGCCCGATTCTACATTGTGCATAGAATGTAGGACAGTCACAAATGGGTGAATTCATTCTAGTGTTACATTGTCATGTAAATTAAAATCTCCCTATTTTTAAAAATTTTTACATGTTTTGTAGCTAGCTGCTGAAAAATAAGTGTGATATTTTTGATAATGATCATTAAAATTTGTAATTTTTTTAAAATACTGAATATGAAATAATAGGCAAGAAATGACCATACCTTACTACCCCAAGCAATGAAGGTCTCCTCATCCACTATGTCCAGTTCGTAAAGCTTTTGAAGAATAAGCGGAACCTTTGACATCAGCTGAGTCTCGTACACTTTGCCGCACAACTGCTCTATTGCTCCAAGAAGGTATTTCTGGGCCTTGGGGTTCTCATGGGTGAACTGAACATAAAAATAAACATAATTGAATATTAAATTAGTGGAAATATTAAAATTTGTTTGTGCAATGATTTAAATACAATAAACAATTTTAATAAGACTTTCAGAATTAGTATGATTGAGTGTGCAATAAAAATATTATTGTATGTTTACATCAAAACATAAGTTATTTTACAAGATTGTTTTTGTATGTAAATAATACAAGTTTGTAGCTTCTGATTAGCGGTGCAAAATGCAAATCAAGTACGGTGACATTTTCTAATTGTAGACCACTTTGGAAGCTGAACATTTGGGGTGACGTCAGAGTTTGGTCTCCAATTAAGAAGGCAAGTTTTGAATATTGTTAGTCTTTCATTAAAGATGTCTCCGAATAAAAGAATGGAACTTTCCAGAATATCAATCAAACTTAAAAACTGACCAATTACAACAGGGACAGGAATACGCGCATGTCCTACAAATACGCTTGTCGTCCTGATCGTGGACACTTATGCTTTTCCACTGTTGTTTGCAGGACCCTGAAAACAATATTTTAGGGGCAGGTCTTAACAGAAAAATCCATTGAATTGGAGGTTGAATTGATTTTCGAAATCTTAACGTGAAGCCTACTTACTCGTAAAAAGTGAAGCCTATATTGTTTCAGTTGGTCAATGATTCTAAAATCCAACAACACTTCACCGAGAATTAGTGGCCCCTTATCTTTCACCTCAAGACGTTCTGCCTCCGCCATAACCTTCTTGTCAGCTTCTGGTGCAAGGATAGTTTTGTCATCACGCATTTTCTGAAATTAGGAGCTTTTATTAAGTTGGGAGCCAAAATCTTGATTGAATGAAGGGATTAAGCACATAAGCATATCCCTTCTTACAGTCTCCAAATCTCTTTCATAATGTTAAATGACGTATAAAGCTCAGATAATCTTGTGATACCTAAAGCCAGGCACTTACTGCGTTCAACGACAGTCGTACGACCGTTAACAAAAAAACGTAACTCTGCTCCCTGTAAGCGGCAGACAACGCGACACTGTCTGCCGATTGTAGGTACCAGTCTAACAGATCGTCATTAAAAAACAACCGTTGCACGCACATCATGGCATTCCACATAGAATCATGTTGGCCAAGATTACAGTGAAAGATATAACTTTTAATTTCCAATTAATGTCACAATTTTTCTATATTTGATTTTTTTCCCTCAATTACGAACTCAGTTTGGACAGAGAGATATGTAATTAGGAGATGTTACTGTATTAAATTATATACAGTATTATAACATCTCTCACCTTTACATAACTGTGGAACATGTTAACCCGCTCTGATTGGGTCTTCTCCAGGTCGTCATTCAGGGTCAGTCCCTTCGCACCATCGGTCAGCTCCTTCATTCTCTCTTCGACAGCTGCTTTACTTGTGTCCACTGACCAATCTTTGTCATCATCGCTGTAGTCATCCTAAGGCATAACAAAATAAATGTGCTAAGTTGCTATAATACCAAAAAAGATCAAAATAAGAGCGAAACTATCTTGATTAAGCACCATAGCACTTACTAGAAAAAAATGGCAGCATTTAATGAAGTACATTCTATCTAACATGAAATAAGCCAGTGGCATTTCTATTAGTCTTGAAAAGAGGGGAGGGGTTAATCGGGGGAGGCGCAGAAGGCGGGAGCTTGATGATTAAGTAAGAGGGAAGTGGCTTGAAAATGAGGTGATATAAGGTGATTTTCAACTTCTTGAGCATAATCTATTTGCTTTGAACATTTCCAGTGGGGGAGGGGTGAGACTGGGGAAACAAGCTTTTTTTTTGGGAGGGTAGGGGGAGGGAGAGATACACCACTAAAATAAGCACCTTCCTTGAGTAAGTGCTATATTGAATCCAGACTAAAAACATTTTTTTGATGCAACACATTTGTTGTCTCAAAACATTTGTTGACGCAACACATTTGTTGATTCTACACATTTGTTGATGCAACTCGTTTGTTGATGCTACACATTTGTTGATGCAACTCGTTTGTTGATGCAAAACGTTTGTTGATGCAATGTTTTTTGATGATACACATTTGTTGATGCAAATTGTTTGTTGATGTAAAACGTTTGTTGATGCAATATGTTTTTTGATGCAACACATTTGTGCGAGTATACTTTATTAATAGGAAGATGATGGTTTGTCAAAAGCACTGCAAAAGGAAATTGAACACAGCAGGACGTCATGCTACATACCCGTTTCGGCACCACAATTTCTGAACTCTTTTCAGTAACACCATTTGTTTGCTTCTTGCTGTTACCCTTGCCCTTAGACTTGTCTTTATCCTTCTTCGGTGTATTCGAATCTTCCGGGGGGTGTTTTAGCATGTAGGTGGTCAACTTATGTCGCATGTCCACTACAGCCTGATGCCCGCAAGCCTTGCAAATTTTACCAATACGTTCTTTTTTAACAATCTGGTATAACATGAAAAGGATTAAACAATTTTCTAGTTTTCATTTTCTAGTTTGAATACCTCTTTCCTCAGGTAAGACATTCACATAACATTTAAAATAAATACAAATTTTATAATTACATATTTTTGGGAAAAGTGCATAAAACAAGATGAATTTGCCACCCTGCTTAACATACCTACCATCATAAAGTTGATATTTCCATGAAATTATGGGTTTCAGATGATCCAAATATGCTGGTACACTCTATACAATTATAGTTTGAAGTTAATATCATGCATTCTTATTGTTAATGTGGAATATAGCTTGAGCTAAGCTTAAGCTTAGCTTTTTGCCAAGTAGCAAAAGATTGTCATTTACCAGGTTTGTTTCAGGGTTTTCACATTCAGGACAAAGAACAAATTTCTTGATAAAGCTGTCCAACATTAGCTGCAGCTTACCACCGGCGTGAGACCCGTTTACAATATAACGATCATGCTTTGCATCCACCTGGGTCTGGGCTCCCAACTCACAGCCAAAGAACTTGGTGGTATCTATGGGAGAAATACACATAATTTATTTGTTGAAACTCAAATTGCACCCAACAAGGGGAGCAGAAAAGTCCTTTGGTGTAGCTCCCGAGACCAAATGGCCTCGGGGTTGTCTAAGGACCCCAGTGGGGTGGGGTCGCAGGCCCCTAGTGGGCTGCCCAAACTATAAAGAGGCCTGTCATCCTGGGCACTTTAATTGCCTGTCTCTCCTCCCTTCCCCACACAAACCTCTCAACACAACTGCATCCAAAACAAAAACAAAACTTCATAACATTAAAATATATCAATTGAATTTATTCAGACAGCAGTTCTTCATCTAGAATTTCAATTTATGTAAATTATTCCCAATTACAGACTGCTTAAGTCTCGAAAAATCAATTTGCAGTGGCTGGTCGTTCAATAATGAATTAGTTCAGACTTATTTTCGTCTATCAGCCGGTGATAAAATAATGTCTACTCAATAATCGATATGAACATAAATGAGTTCCTGTCAAGATGTAAATGAATTTGTAATGGAATTATTCGCCTTCCTACATACTAAATTAGCTGCACAACTACAGTACTCTGAGAACATAATCTAGTTTGCAATGTTATTTATTTTTTTTTCTATTACAAACAATAGGCTCCCAGTAGGAACGCGTGTCTACTGCTTGATGCAGTTTATCTTTGCTCGTTTTAACTCAAACACCCATCTATGCATTCGGTGTAGGTAATTCACTTGAATACGGATTGCTAATTTTTTAGTTCTTTCTAAGATAGGTCTTATATAGGAATGATCTATTTCTGTAGCTTATTGTATGACACATTCCATCATTGCTCTAAGTGGTTTTACTCTCACAACTTACAAGTGAGACCGGACGATAGCTAACAAAAACTAACCACAATACCAAGTTTTGTTACAAATGAATGACTTGCTCTTATTTAGGTGTTGTATAGCCTCCATCATGCCTTATGACATCATCAATGACACCACCATCCAAACATGTGTGCAAATCACACACTTTCAACAAATATCTTGATATCATGGGCGGGGAGTATTTATTAAGCACTATATACACGTTTTAAGTGACAAATTTGTGTAAAATCCCCATATATGGGCATAAAGATGCCATTATATATATAAATGGATATCACATCATACCCATACATGGGTAAATTATATGTATCTATCAAAAAACAAATATAGAGTACAACAACAACAACAACAACAATAATATAATTAATCATTCATCGGTTGTGCCAAATAGGAATCAATACAAGACTTCACTAGATGGTGGACTTACAAGTTGGAGGTCTATTCAGGGCTTTGGCTACATCGGCCATATTCACAATTACTGTTTTTATACCATTGCCTTTTCCTTCGACCTGTAAGAAAAAAATCCCACAGAATGTTTTTATAGAAAAATATAAACCTTGAAAGTAGTGTACTTAATTGGAATAGGAAAATTTATTAAGGGTTGTAGCTGTAAGTGATAACACTATAGTGGATATTGAGGATACTGTAGGCAAATGGCTTAGTAAAGGTTGGTGTGGGCCATGAATGTAGATTTAGACCTGAAAAAAAAATCTGACGGTTGGGTGGTCTCGCCCACCATAAGTTCATCCCAGTTTTTCTTTCGCATTGGTTATAAAATTTATAATTATGGTAAAAAAAGGGGGAGGAAAAAAAAATTTGATATATTTTTTTTCCTCCGGAGCCTGACTTTAAAGTAAATAGTTTAGACTGATGAAATTTCAGAATTTGATATGCAAATTTTATTACTTTCAGTTCTATCGGTTCTATTTACTAATCATTAGTTTACATGGTTTGAGAACTATGTTACTTTCAGTTATTAATGCCACCTTTAATGGGCCTATTGATTTCTGTTGAAACCCAAATATAGAGAACTGTTTTAGTCATAATTGGTTTCAAAAAGACCCCTTCTCTACAGCCAAAACAAAAACCACAGCCTTGCAGGCGTCAACGTTCCTATGCATGATACATGACTTTATCAGAAAATATAAGGTTGGGTCAAATTTATGTGGTGGTTTAACATGAACAATTCAGGAGAAGTGAGTTTTTATGGTCCAAAATAGATTTTTGACCACATTGTTTATGTTATTTGATAGGCAAATTAAGTTAGCAGAATCATAAAAAAGGAAAAATTATTTTGTAGGCCTATGTAGGTATTATTTTCATTTTACAGTAGTTTGAAACAATATCGGGGGTGGGGGTGCTGGCATGGCCTACTAGACAACAATATATTAAACCATCTTAGCAGGCATCAACATTCCTATGCAGAATAATAGTTCAGTTATATGACTGAATTTAATACACAAAATATTATAATTTGAAAACATATTTAGGCCATTTGCTGTGTTATGCTGCAGTAGCGAAAAAATGTTGGTCTATAGGATTAATTAATATAACAACTGTGATACTTTTATCACTATGGATTGTTTTACTTTTGCAGGGACATTTTCAGGGAGGCGCTGCTTCTCTCCTCCCCTCCCCCAACAACTTTGTACACAGTTTTAATACAAATAGTTTCCTTAAATCACTCAGACTCTTTAATAGTGATCAACAAAACTTATGAAGTAAACAGATTGGGTCAAATGTCTGTGTAAAAAAAATATATAAGGCAAAGTAAAATTACAGTAATATAACAATATTTGGTTTTATTTCAAAATTATTATTTACTAAATGCAGTATCAATAAACACAATACTTTGTTATGTACTGTTTGCACTATTATGTTAATGACACCTTGATATTTTCCACAATGGCAATGTGGGCCAGGATGACAAGAATGAGTGCAATGGGAATAAAGTGATGGATGGCTAGTTAGTAAACTAATCCCAAGGGTACCATTAGGCAGGTCACTGTCAGTAAAACAAAATGTCGGAAAAACGTTTCCTGAAGATGTCTACACACACACATACATACACACACACACACACACACACACGTAAAAAAGTGAATACAATAGTTCCTATTGCATTCATGCATAGGAACTAAAAAAAGAAAAATATACAAGATTCTTTTATTGTCACTAGTACATAAAATACAAGTAATGAGAATGCCTTTTCCAGCCATCTAGAGGTGCCATAACCAAAATATTTTGTACATCAGCCCCTATCATGCTGGGGTTGAGTTGGTCTAAACACGTCATCTGTAAAAATCCCCTCCGCCACTGTGCTCCCCCTATTACTGTACAGTAGATCCGCCACTTATTAAAGACAAAATGGGTAGTAGTACTTGTGTGTATTGTTAGTGTTTGATTAAATATGGTTTTAATGATAGATTAATCACTAAATATGATTCATGCCTGATGTTTACTTTTATGAATACAACATTATGTTTAAATGTTCAACACGATTAATAAAACCTGCTGGGAATTTAACCTGTAGAGCTATGCGATGCCATATGCTGCTACCAAATCTATTGAAATACCTCGACTTGGGGACCATCTCAGAATACTATTTACATCTAATATGAGTTATTAAATATTCATATTTTGACTGGGATGCTCTTTGAACTCTAGTTTAATACTAAGTTGCATTTCAAGGAATTAACTAGTTAATGAATTTGCATAGTATCAATATTTTGACACTATGGACATACAGTAGTGATTCAAGATATTTTTCTGGTTTGTAAAAAAAATTATTAAACAAATTTGAAAAAAATTAAAAATTGTCAAACACTTCCATAAAATTTACAATAAATGATTTTAATATAAACTATCAGTGTTCTCCCAATTGAAACATAATTTATACTGGTGAATTTGTCCATATAAAACCAGCTAAAGCATGCACAACATGAGGTATTGTCTCTTTTAAGTCAAATTCAATGGCTTCAAAAAACAATATAATCATAGCCTGGACTGGAATTATGTTCATTTACTGTATTGAAGGCCAGCCTAGGCTACCTAGGCCTAATAAGTGCTTTTTATTTATATTCTACTAAACCACAATTTTTACTGGTTGGTCAGTTATTTTTACTGGTAAAACTGATGGCTTTAACGGCCTTAGGTAGAACACTGATTATAATAATAAATCATAATTGCTTACCTTGGCTATGATGGGGGGCATCTTGTAACGGTAGAATTGATCAGTGACGCTGCGATTGACATTGAGCGCCATTTTCTTGAATCGCTTTCGTGTTTACTTCTAAAAATATGCCTGGGAGCTTGATGTAAATTTAGCGAACTGTGTTTGATGCACTTTAGGCTGGACATACAAGTTCCTATATTCGTCTGCTTTTTTATAGAATTTGCAGGCGGTCTTGTCTTGGCACGTATCACCAATGGCTCTGCCAGAATAAACGCATTATTTTCTTATAATACTCCTTTAAATGGCTAAACTTTTTAATACCTTAATTTTTTAATACCTTAAACTTGATCAAACTTTACCTTAGATAGATTATTACGAAGGCAAGAAAACCTTTTTGTTTTCTCATTTAGCTACATTGGTGTGCCTAAAAGCATCTGGACTAGGGTTGAAAATATGACTGGGTCAGAGGGTCGAAGTAAATTTTTGATTTTAGTGTGCTTCAAAAACCTTCATGCACTGTTATCATACATGCTCAATTTCAATATTACTTTTTTCTGATGAGCCATAAAAACAAGGGGTTTTCTAGCTAAAGATAGCAAGTGGGCCGCACGCATACAGTTTGAAATTTCATTTTGCCGTCGGGCCGCACTTTTCTCGCTTGTGATCTAGAAAATAAAAAGAATTGAAATATGGCACAAAAAATACAATAGGATACCTATTTATTCAAATAAATACCCCGCTTTGAATAAATGCCCCTTCTAAAGCCTCATTTGGAATAACTGGCTCCCTCGAATAAACGCCTAAGGCATTTACTTTTTCCTCAAACACCTCCCGCCACCCCTAAATGACTGTAAACAAATCTAATGGAAGCTTCATCATTCTAAACACAAGTGGTCCACTCCAGTATCTGAATTACATTTTTTCAAACCTGGTTGGGACAAACAAGTCTTTATGATCACCAAATAACACAATTGACGATAATTGCGTGTTATTTTTTTGTTCCACATTTACAGTGAAATTATGAGACATTTATCTGAGTATACCACGTATGCCTCCCTCGAATAAAAACGCCTCAAAAATCCTCAACAAAAAAACGCCCAGGTGCGTTCATTCAAATATGGTAATTATTTATGAAAAAATATTAATATATTTTTAGCTGCGAGGAACATCCTGATGTCCTATATGATCTGAACCAAAGACGATGATGGGTTTACAATACATACATACTTTTGGTAAGATTAGAATGCATAGCAAATCAGCACAGGTGTAGCTGTGGTAGTATGGTGCATATGCTTGGTCCCAGCTGACAATTAAACCAACAAAAAATATCATAGCCTTATGAAAGTTTCGACTACCTTTTTTAACCTTATTAGGAAATCAATAATACAGTACAAACATAACCCCTTCTTATAACGTCCAACACAGGCCTACACAACCCCTTTTTTCTTTGTTACTTGGTGATTGGTGTTTCCTTTTGTTTTAATGTTTGATTAAATTTTTATATTCTATTCTTCCTCATTTCACTGATCACTGAAATGTAGTGACAATCAGACAATCTGGATGGAAACCAGATGAAGTCAAATTACATAACATTCTGTAAATACAATATCGAAAATATAGGACTTATCGAAAGCCTAACTATGGCGTGACTACTGTAATACCAAATGCAACACGAGTTTTGAGAAGTCCAAAGAAGGCTTGGACAAGGCTTAGTTAGGACAGATATAGGCCTATCCTATAAATTATGTGACTGTCTCGATGTCCAGACGGCGGTCCAGACACTGAATAGATGCGTGGGTGGGTAGGCCTAGCTAGCTTTATACTTTTTTCGAATAAAACATATAAAATGTTTATTGATAAACTTACCGTGGTATCCCAACAAAGACATAAAAAAATTCAAGGCAATTTGTCTCCAACGAGAATAAAATCTGGCAAGACTCGGTCTTGAATTGATGGTTGTCCTCTAAATGCGAGGAGAATCGGAAATGTGCAGCGCGAAGCAGTGTGGCAAACACTGTCGAAACTAATCGAGAATCTCCTTGTTTAGCTTTTCTATAATTCAATTAAATAAAAAGAAAACAGTAAATAAATGAAGCAAATGAGGGTTAATATACTGTTAGATTCTTGTACTGTAGGATCGTAATTTAAACACTATTCATTTCAAGAATATAATGTAAAATATAATGACGTAGTAAACCTCCCTACCTCACAAAATGTCGAATGGACTAGAAGCAGCGATGCGAATACAAGAACTTCGTGTTCGTGTGGGTTCAATCAATCCATCCATATGGATTTGTGAACGTTGCCAGATGACACGTAATAATGTAAAAATAACAACACAATGCTTTTGTTTACAAAACAAATTAAAATCTGGATTGCTTTTAAGAGAATACATAAATCATTTTAGTGTTATACAATCTTATTTTATCATAAGAATTTAGGGGTAACATTCAATTAATTGCTTACATAAGTTTCTGGCAAAACAATCTCTTATTGCGAAATTCCAAGTCACATGCAATCGTAATGAAATATAATTTGGGAAAGACTGCAGCCACGAGAAACATTATATTTATATATCATGAATAATCAATTACCATATCCTGGACTGGAAGGTAACGGCGGCGGTATGAGTCGTCTCTAGATCTGGCAGCAAATTAAGAATGTTTGTAGTAAAATGTTTGTAAATAGATATTTTTGGCTTTTTGAAAGGATAAATTAAGAGGCACGTGGTCCACGCAAAATTAATTAATAATTAGTATGAATAGGCCTAGGCCTATAAACAATTAGATAGATAAATAAATAAAAATAATGGAGTGTAATACCTTCGTTGATGAGTTACATCATAGTAGTACAGTACAGTACAGTACGTGCACATTCAGGTAAAGACTAAATCTAGAAGCACGCATTATATTTAAATATCATGAATAGACCTACCTCTATATGAGGGCTTATATGCTTTCGTAACTTAAAAAAAAAAATTAATAAAGATAACAACGTGATTTTAAAAACGTACATATGGCAACTTTCTTGCAGAAAAAAAAAATCTCTTTACAAACATACTCAGTTGTCAGATCTAGAGCCGGAACACCGGGGTGCTGCATTATGGAGAGTAATGTGTGACCGGAAATGGTCTGCAGTCAGTTGGTTCAAGTGACTGCGCCAGTGAATAGGATGTTGGAGTACAGCCAGATGAAATTATAATGTAATGCATGATGAATAAAGTTCGGGGTTTGTCGGGTAGTGGAATGATTATTGTACATTATAAGTGCTCCCTCCATGCATAAGAGTAAGCTAAATTACGGTGATTAATTAGCGACTTAAAATAAGAAAAAAAAATAACTAAGAATAATTCATTTGTTCAGTTATACAATGCTAACAATGCGGCTCTTGTAGCCCTAGCTAGGCAAGGCATCCATGTAATTTTTCATTTTTGTCAGAAAGTGTCTATAGTGGTGAATTATGGTTTAGGTTTTTTTTAATAAAGTTTCAAAAATGTCTATGTATGTGGAAAATGTAGTTGATTACCAAAGGTTATAATTTTTATTTTGAAGACTGCATGGTCTAGGAAGTGTACATTTTTTTATGGGGCAAGTTTCCAAGGGAGGGTTTTCTAGGGGCGAGTTGACTGCCAAAGAGTGTTGCCAAAGTGCGAGCCAGCGTGTTATTTGATCACAAGTGCGAGACATCGCAAGTGTGAGCCAGCGAGCCATGACGTCACGACAATAGATACGAGACGTTACTCGAGCTGGCCTGTACTCGAGTTGTGCGAGGTATTGGCTGAGATTTGTGGAGTACAATTCAAAAAACAACTATAGGTTTAATAATGAATTATTGTGATGTTAAATAGACAATGTTAGCTATCAAGGAGCGACGTGTTTTTCATTGGGACCTTCGTCCCTTCAAGGCTAGGCCTATACCATCCTAGCTGGTCTAGGCCTAGAGTAGGGTGGTAGCCGATCATTTCGGTCGCGCTTTGTTTCGCGCTTTTTATTTCGAACAAATATATGGAGCGCCGAAGGAGTTGCGATATTTCAGTTCGTGAATCGGTTTATCATAGACCTAAGTATTATTGTTTCGCTATTTTTCCACTAACAAAATATCTTTTCTGCTATATTCTCTTTCTTCCATTTACGGTGATATATTCATGATTGCAACATGATCTTGTAATTGAAACAATGGAATTTAGTATGTGCTTCATGCTATTCTTTTTGTTGCGTTTTCATATACTATTCTCTTATACACATCTTTTCGGTCGCGCTTCGTTTCGGTCGCGGTATATTTCGAACAAATATATGGAGCGCCGAAGGAGTTGCGAAAACGAAAAATA